GTAATTCAATACAATCTAATTCGGTACCCAAGTCTGAAGACCAACCGTGTCAGCCAAGCATTTGCAAACTCCATGAAACTCTCTACGATATTAACTAGAACATAAACCCTCTGTCACTCGATCCTATGTGCACTTACATTTCATTCAAAATAATCTCAAAGTTTTAGTCGCACACAATCAATATGAACCATCACGCAAAACACACAACAAAACCCTAACTAGGTCCGGAGTTACAAAATAGTATGAAGCATCCAATCATAATTCTATAAAATGTTAAACAATGTAAATAACGTAATTAGATTGTTTGAAAAGAGCTTAAAAAATCTCGCACGTTCCAGAATTGAGAAACCTTACCTCTAATTGTGTGTCGTTCCGAAACTACCAAAAATTGAACAATGAAATCAAAAATTTTTTGAAGGTTAGTTTGATCACAAATTATACAATTAGATCAAAGTAGGACCTGTAAGGGTAAAAAAGTTATGTTTCATGTTTTTGTTAGGATTATAGATTTATGACAACCCAGGCATTATTAGAATCTCCAACTCAACTTAAATCATGTTAATTCGAAAGTAACCTTCACAATCCTTCTAATCATAGGTTGTGCCTCCAAACAACGTCCCGAGAAGAACATTACAATTATTATTTCTTTTCGCTGCGTAACAATTATGTCCCATTAATCGGTTCCATTTTTTTTAGTCATTTTCAAACAGAAACCTGTGTTGACACAATAACAATCTAGTGTTGTAACCTATAACATTAGAACAGACATTGAACCTAGTTTTCAATGCTTCAAACGGTATACAAATCCGAGCTTCCTAAATGAAGTTATCACTATTTTTTTATCATCTACCCAAGCTGCCAGTTAAAACCGGGAATCACCAGTATCTTATCTATTCTCATACAAACCTTCTCAAACCCATTCCAACTTTACACGACCTTATTTAGCTTCGCTTTCATTCATTTGACCATATGTACACCATCTAAATATTAATTTAAAGAGTTAGAAGCCATAAGATTCAATAAACACTAATCTGGCCAGACACGAACTTGACCAAATATTCTGCCATCAAACACTTTCACAACCCAAACTCTTATCTACTTATTGATCCCAAAAACTGTTCGCCATGGTGGCTGATCAAAATTATGACTTGGCAACCGACGGGAGTATTTCTATAGGAGAAGTCAAGGACCATAGGGACTTCATTGGCCGACCCTTCGATGATAAAGTTGGAAAGGTATGATTAAAAGATATGGTATTTAGCTTGGACTAGTCAACTTACTTGGATGATGCCTAACATGGCTTTTTTAGAGGTCAAAAGATTGGACCGTTGGAAGATCCTCAACTGCTATTTGAATGGGGCAACACTATAAATGGAGTAGAAGATGGCACACTCTAGCGTGGATATCTCAACTAGTTGAATTAGTCCAAGCATATGGAACTAAGGAGTTGCCAAGCTGGAATGCTAGCGAGCAAGGTGTTGAGGGCCTTTTCAAAGTCGTGGAGCTCCTCTGCCGAACTCATACTTAATTTATCATTATCAATTGCCCATTAATTCGAACTAGTGAGTTGCACGTGCCATGAATTTAATGTATTTGCCTATTAGCACTTGGGAAAATGGGGACGATGGTCGTGCACATGCAACCGTCAGAGAGCCGTTGTGGGGCCAATGTATAAAATCTGCTTTCCCTCTACTACCCAACACATCTTTGAGAGCTCTAAGATACGCCCTTCCTTCTTTATCTTTAGCTCTTTTCGTCTTTAAGTTTAATTATAACTCCTCATCCTGGAGCATATAGGTTGGAAATCATACCTTAGTTTCATTTTTATCACTTTTGTTTTCTTCATTGGAAAATTTTCATTCTTGATCATGTTGAATACTTTGTGGATAGGTCTATTCAAGCTCGATTTGAATCTATGCTTGATTTCTTTCTTCCTTTAATTTTTCATATCCCCAATCATCCCCCTCCATTAAATTTATACATCAACCACCGTAAATTTTCTAATATGGCAATCGATTCTGAGCACTCCTTCTGTGTCTTAGGCTTATGCTGCGAATGAGGACTCTAACTCTATTTTGGATATTGGCTCTTCATCTCTCAAGGTAATTGGAGCAAAGAACTATCATAGTTGTCTCGATGAGGATGCTTTCAAGAAATTAGGACCTTATACCAGATCCTTAACTATGTGCGCCTTAGGGTTCCGTCCCCTAACGAAATCGCCAATTCTTTTATGCCTAATAAAGCCTGCTTCAATGAGTCCATATGTCAGGCTTTGCTTCACATATATAACCATGAGAAAAGATCCACATCGGGTTCCCCCTCTTGGAACAACAATTAGTAACAAAGCATGGTTACCCTAAGATCATAGATACTGGTAGGCTTTTCTTATTTTTGCTTATATACCTAGCTTTCCAAGATATCTATTATTGTTATTAGTTTGTATCAAATGGATTCTCAAAAAGAATGAGGCTTAATTGCACTGGCACCTCTCGTTGATGGTTCTAACTTTTCTTATTGGAAAGCTCGTGTAAGGTTATTTCTAAATCAATTGATGAGAGAGTATGATTGATTGTGCAAAAGGGTTACAGCCCTCCTCTTACCACCACACAAGTTATAGGTGGTGAAGCGGTGGTTGAAATAAAATTCCCAACGACTTGGTCAAAGGCCGAGATTAAATCGGTGAGGTGGGACTCTAAAGGCTTGAATGCGATATTCAATGCCTTGACACCCAATGAGTTCCGAAGAATCACTAATAGTAAGACTTCAAAGAAGGCATGGGATATTCTTGTGGTTTCACACGAAGGAACTACAATGGTCAAGATGTCCCATCTCTAAATGTACGCCTTATAATTCGAGATGTTGAAAATGCAAAAGAAATAAATATTTGGCAATTTTTATGCCAAGCTATGTGATATAATTAACTCTTCATTTGCATTAGGTACCAAGATCGAAGATACCTCTATTAAGTGAAAAAAAATGAGATCTCTATCAGAGAGATTTCATGCTAAGGTGACCTCATTAGAAACTAGTATCAACATGGCTACGGTATCGGTTGAAGACCTAGTTGGGTTGATTTTGACTTTTGAGATGAACCTTATTCCACCCAAGAAAGTGAAGGGTGTTGAATTAAATTCTATAATTGAAGAAGGGGGTAAATTTGAGTTATCCTATTTGGGAGAAGAGGACATAATCTATCTTGCTTGAAAATTTGACAAGTATTTTCAAACTAGTGGTTTCAAGTCCTCAAGGTCGAAAGGAAACTCAAGTAGACCTAAGTTTCCTAGAAAGGGAAAATAAGGTGGGGGTAGACCTTCTCGACATGAGGTTGAGAAAAAGGAGCAAGGACTACAATGCTATGAATGTCATAGGTTTATACATATAGCAGCAGAATGTCCTAATACAAACAAGAAGGACATGCCCAAGGATAAGAAAAGAGCCTGGAGGGCTAAGGTGAGTGAAAGTGAAAGTGAGTCCACAGCAAGTGTTGACTTCTCTTCTTCAAGTAATGAAGAAAATTTCATTGCCTTTGTAGGTTCATATTCCCCCCCCCCCCCAACACGAGAAACTTCCAAGGATGAAGAAAATTAGGTTGAGTCGAATCCTACTACAAATGTAAATGACTTAATAGCGAAAGTCTCTACTAGTGAGGATGAGATATAGAGTGTTAAGGACATCTAAGATGCTTATTGTAACACCCCAAAATTCACCCTGTAAGGCATTACTATCTACAAACCATTCAACCATGAGAGCGACTAAAAAGAATCATTAAGTAATAAATTATTCATCCATTTGACAAGGAACAAATACTAAAACCAATAAAACATTGAAACTTCTCCAACTTACAATTCAAAAACCAAAATCTCTAGCAGTAGAATAATAAAAACTAGCTAAAATATTGTTTCATAAAATCTCTCAAACTCTAAATCAAAAGTAGATCAACTCTATTCCTATAAGGTAGGATCCACATCTTGAACTTCCAACGGCTCGTAATCATTCTGCTCATCCACATTAACATCCTTTTCTATGCCAAAATCTGTAAGCGTGTTGTAGGTGGTGAGCAAAAGTCCGTTGACAAGCCCTCTCAAATCCCAACAAGGTTTAAAACAATAAAAGATGACAAGTCTTTTTTGGAAAATAGCATATATAGATTTTTTAGAATAAAACTATGGTAGTTGTAATGATCTCAAGTGTACAGAATACAGTAAATCAATTACAGAAATAAAATTACAAGAAATTAAAGTAATCAATAGATAACTCAGTAACTTCATTTCATATTCTCATGTATGTTGGTTGTTTATCAGGAATCTACACAATGATTCTACCTCGTCCACTCATCACAACCACACAATCTTAATCATTTCCCGTAGGACACATCACAAATTCTTTAGGAAAGGCTTATACCATCTCTCACGACATTGACGAATCCTTCTCAGGAAAGGTATATCATCTCTCAGTCTCGAACTTACGTGAATAATAATGGTTGCTCTCACAAACAATAATTCATTACGAGTTAGACAACCATCTCATCCCCACTAGGATAGACTAACCTCTAACACTCTCCGGCAGCTCTCGAAGACAATTCAAGTCCATCACAACAAACCATACAAGAGATGAAACCAAAATATTCTCAACAATCATAATCTTAAAAAATCACAATTTTCATTACCAATTCAAGTATCACAATTTCTCAATTCTCAATATACTACAGTAATAGGGAATTAAATTATGCAAAAGATCATCTCAAGAAAACCTTTATAATTTTGATATTCAAAATTCTAGAGTTTTGCCAAAAATCCTAATTTCTTGGAACAAGAACAACTATTAGATGAGAATATGATTTAATCAAGTATAAGAATTTAGAAATCAAGAATCCCTATGAATTTCACAATAGAACATGTATTTGGAAAAATGAGGGTTTTGTAAATTCAAGAACAAATATTCCTTGAACCCAAACATATATTTTGCTCAAGACTATNTGCTCTACGGAGGCAATTTCCTTCATGTACGAAAATGTGACTGCGTTACCAGCTACAATGGACTGGAGAAAAAAAGGAGCTGTAACACCTATCAAGGACCAAGGCCAATGTGGTAAGTGACAATCTTTTAGGAAATGAAAATTTTTATCCTGGTATTTTCTGACTCTTATACAATATGAAAATATAGGATCTTGTTGGGCATTTTCGGCTGTGGCGGCTACAGAAGGAATTACTAAACTTAAAACAGGTAAGCTAATATCTTTGTCTGAGCAAGAGTTGGTCGACTGTGACACTAGTGAAGATCAAGGCTGTGAGGGTGGTCTCATGGACGATGCTTTCACATTCATCCAAAAAAATCATGGCCTTACTACCGAAGCTAATTATCCCTACGAGGGAACTGATGGAACTTGCAGCACCACCAAAGAAGCAAACCATGCAGCCAAGATAACCGGGTACCAAGATGTACCTGTCAATAGTGAGGGTGCACTGTTGAAAGCTGTTGCAAATCAACCAGTCTCGGTTGCCATTGATGCTGGAGAATCAGATTTTCAGTTCTACTGGAGTGGTGTCTTTACGGGGGAGTGTGGCACTGAGCTAGACCATGGTGTTGCTGCTGTTGGTTATGGCACTGGTGAAGATGGAACTAAATATTGGCTAGTGAAGAACTCGTGGGGCACAAGTTGGGGTGAAGAAGGGTACATAAGAATGCAAAGAGATGTCAAAGCTGTGGAAGGCCTATGTGGTATTGCAATGCAATCTTCGTATCCAACTGCATAGAGATTTAAAGTTCAAATCCTAAAGCATGACTGCCTATGTAAATAATTCCATAGCTTATTCCTATGGTTTGCGGTCCCACTCTTGCTTGTTCATATTTGTAGCAAGAACCTGTGTGTTTTCCTTTTTAAATCAGCTGGTTATATATACTATATATTGAAAAGATAATCGTTGCAATTTAAAAGCGTCAATTTCGATAGAAGGCGCTCAACAAATTCTTCTTCGAAAGGTCTAGCCAAAAAATTTATTGAGCTTTAATGAAAGATTGGATCAATGTGTACCAAATAAACACACCAAAACATTGACACAACCCTTATTATTGACTTCAAGAAAATGCAATGCTCAACCAAAATGAGAAAGAGGATCCTTACGACTAATTGGGCACCCAAGACCCTTAAATTGGTCACCGAAGTACAAGAGAAAACTATGATTATCAATGATTTAGATTTCCTTCAAGACATGTGACACAAACGTTTTATTTTCCTCAACAAATAAAAAGTGTTAAGGAATCTCCATCCCGCCATATTTGATTGAGATATTAAGAGAAAGTACTCCTCAAATCTCCATCTCACTGCATCTAATTTTTATATAATTATAAATTATCTATTATAATATGTTTTGTTTATTTTTCAAACAAAAATTCAAATGAGAATTTACTGGGGTAATAGTGGTGGGAGTGGTCATATGAATAAGTTAGAGGAATTTGATTGCACGAAATCAGTTTTGACAATTAAATTAAACAAAATTCTAACTATATATCACAATTGAGTTGTGTTTGTGTTGTATCATTTCAAGTTTGTGTCGGGTATAATTTAAATTCAACTCATTTAGTTAATTGTGTTAGATGTACTAACACTAACCCCACCTATTTATTATCGTCTTGTGTTTTGATTGACCCGTATAACATACGAATAAAAAAACTAAGACTAAGACCCATTATTTTCCAACTAATGACTCATAGTTTTTTTATTAACTAAAGATCCACTAAATATATATCTATATCCATATTATTAATAGAAGTATTTTAATCAATGAATTATAAGTAGAATTTTAATCAAATGAATTTCAAAATTTTTAATTTTTCAAATAAAAGAAACTTAACATGAAAAATTTTGATTTACTATTTTACCTTTATAAAAAATTGTAAAAATCATTCTATCTTTGCATTGTTAAATATCTAAATTACCATCATATTCTTACGTGTTTGAATCTCCAAATTATCAACTAGCATCTGTTCTAATTATTTATTCTCTTTATATAAATATTAGTATTTATAAAAAAAAATTAAATTGACTATATTACCCTTAAAAAATACATGCATTATTATGGTTAGTAGTATATTCTATACCAATTGACCTAGCTAATTCTTAATTATTGTAATGTTCTAATATGATTAGGATATTGATAATTTTATTTTATTTTAATTAAAAATTATAAGTAAAATCCTAATCAAATCAATTTCAAAAATTTTAATTTTTCAAACATCACTAAAAAAAATCACAATCAATGCCAAAATTCTATATAATAAAGCTTTATTTTTTTTTTATCATTTTTCTTATTGTTAAACCAGTGAATCATTGAGATAGACTAAATCTTCACAATTTTATAATACAACCTGAGCGATATAAAATAAATTTGGTAAATTTGAGATGATATTTAATTTAAGCACACATATATCAAATAATTTTTATTAATTTTTTATGTACAAAAACTATTCACGTGCTCATGGCGGAGTTGGAAATTCTATCTAAGGTGAGCACTTTACTCGCTTTAAATTTTTTTCTTCCAATCAATAAAAATAGAATAATATATTTAAATTTATGGCATTGTATTTGATACATACAGATTCAAAAAATATAAAAATTATTAAACGTCGATAAATATAGCGTACACAAATAAAAAAAAAGAGAGACTAATTACAAACTTTCATCATAAATGAGACTAACTGCGTAAAAGATAATATAGTATTTCTCTATATAATCAATCAAGTTATTAGTCATTGATCACGCATTTAGTTATTTAACCTAATTTTTATGTCTATAATTTCAAAAAATTATCTAGATATATTCATAAAGTGTTCAAAGTGTTTCCAAATGTTCATAATTATTTAGTTATATGACTATACTAATTGATAGAATAAAAAATAATAGAATTGACACACTTAAATATATATATATCAGAGTGAGCCCGTTCCCCCCCCCCCCCAGTCCTCATGTGGCTCCGCCACTGCACATGCAACACACATAGTGTATTACTAGTAATAGTACAAATAAGAAAAAAAATCTCATTTTATTAATTTTCATGTCAATGCCCAATCAAAATGACAAAAATTAGGCATTTTATTTATTTAATATTAATTAAACGTATTTATTATATTAAATTTATATTATTCATCTTTGATATTAACTCGACTCGTTTATTAGTTGTATAGTTGATTGTGCTATTTTCGAATTCGTGTTAAGAACTAATCAATCTTAACTCGCTTACTTCGCATTGATTTTAGGTTGCTATCCTCCATATGTCCATGGTATACCACAACAATATACAAGTAATACAATTCAATAGCCATCTCCACAATTGCAGTTACACCAAGCTGCAACAAGCATTTTTTTAAGAATAATGTTACTTGGATCTAAAATATTGACCTAACTAATTGATTTAATCAATCATTGTCATTGATTTAACATTAAGTCCCAGCATTTTATAGGACCCACTATTAATTCAATAATTATAATTAATTGGGTTAATAAATAAGGTCACTATTTGATATCCAAATAAAGTTTTTTTTTTTTAAAGGAAAAAAATAAGCTACATATGGAGCTAAAGTTGCCTTGGTCAGGTTGGGATTGCCACAACATCATATTTTATAGCCTCCACCATTAATTAATCAGCCAAAATGCTCACTATTGAAGGTCCCAATGTAATGTCACTACTTACAACAATAAAGAAACAAATTATATTTACACTTGCTCCCCCCTACTTGAAAGAACTTCAAACAAATAAACGATAACACACCCAAGGAACCAACGACACTGAAAAAGTTAGCACAAACCTGCAGACATCAAAACAAGTCCCCGACAATCCCTTCTTTCATACATCCCAATACCAACTCTCTATCCCTTGCCCCTCCTAGAATATTATTTTTTTTCTCATGGAGATTTTACTTGAAAAAAAATAAAAGAAAAAAATGATGAACTGATAAAAATATTACATTAAGCACACACATACAAAGCAGAACGTAATCTTCTTAATCCTTTTCATCCTAAAGCAGAAGTCCAACTTGCTTTTCTCACTTACTCAGTTAACAAGTTGTTCCTTCTCCATTGGACCCTTGACATCGGAGACAGATGATTGTGGCTGTGATTGAGGTGGTGTAGCATTGTCCATCTTATTTAGGTTCTGTTGGTAATACACTTGCCTCAGTCTCTCTATTTCCTTCTTGAGTGCTTCTTGATGAGCTGCATTTTCACTCATGTTCATTAAGTTTAGCTCAATAATAAATAAGGGTAAATTACACTTAAACCTCTTTAACGTTACCCCTTGCGTCACATTGACCCTTAAACTATCTCTTTTCTGACATTGCACATTAAATACTTAGTTTGAATTTCATGTTGCTCCAAACATTAACTTTTGAAGAAGGAAAGGCATTAACTTTTGAAAAAATTGAACATTAACATTTGTCTAATATTCCACCACAAATCAAGACAAAAATAGGCAGAATTCAAATTTTTCACTGGTTTACTGTGAAAAATAGGGCCAAAGTAAACAATTGGGGCAACGTGAAACGTACACCAAAAGCTTAAGGTGTAATTTGAGAAAGTAGATAGTTTAGAGAGCAATGTGAAATGGGGTATACAGTTCAGCGGATCTAAACATAGTTTTTCTTTTTCAACCGTCACCAGTGTTCAGACCAGTTTATACACACTTCGATTAATTCTTACTCCAGTCCGGTCAAAGACAGACCATTTACGCTAGGATTAGGGTCTTTGTAAGGGATAAATCTCCCATAACCTCGTCTCAAGGAATTACAAGGTTCGAACTTAAGACATCTGAATTTATAATTCGTTTCTATTACCACTTAAACTACCTTCGATTAGGGAATCTAAACATATAATTTGCTCAACTGTTAATTAACACACAAAAACACATGCACACCTATATGCATACAAATACCACCGAACTATAGAAATAAAAATTAAGGTCTGCTCCACTTCTTTTTTTTTTTTCCTATTTTGCACTTGATATATCATCAATTTAAGTTGAATCCATTCTATATATTAGTAGGACATTTACGAATACAAGGTGGGTGATCTATCAAATAGAGAAGAAAAAAACATTACAGCAAATTTAGATCCATAAAAAAGAAGTTAGATCTCTCCTGATATATTTTCTCTTCAATTCACATTTTGGTGGATCATCATCCATCATTAGAGAGTGGGGGATCCAAGGGTATACAATGATTCTCACTTGAATAAATGATAGATAATCTGTGAATAAGAGAATTGAAAAGAAAATGTATTAAATGTGAATTCACTCCATGAAAAAAAAAAAGCGTTTAATCCATACAATTAGGCAATGAAAACTCATAAAGCTTGAGTTATCCACGCTAATATGTTAGCTGCAAAGATTAAAATGGCAGAATTTGAAGGGGGGTTTTCTTTAAAAACTAGGTTTCAGAGTATTCAAATGGTAAGCTATTAAACATTCAGAACTTCCCACGCAAATATCACTAAGAAAAATGAGAAGAAAGCATTGTCTCAAAAGAATAAAAACTTCGAAAAAAATTTAAGGTTTTGTTAAATTAGTTTATTTAAGGTAATTTGTCCTCTTTAATAATGTACATTCTCAAGAATTATTTATTTTCTTTAGGTGTTAGTAGTCATATGCTTGTGCTTCTGGGTATCATCCCTCTCAAAGTGGAACTTAATTGTTTATCAGCTATCTCTTTTAGATCTTACTATCGGCGTGAAATTGCCACGATATTACAAGGTATAAATTTAGATTTAATGGGTTTGAATCATAAGTAAGCTGACCACCAGACTTGGTAAATAATTGAATTGTGTATAGATTGCATAAAATTTAACAAGATATGGATTGGGCATGACACGACTCAATATTGTTAGCCTTAATTCAAATGCATAACAACTATATTGGACGTTGCAGTCATAAGCAAGGTATGAAGATAAGCATCTGGTTTAACTGTGGGTTAATCACTTACCATCTTTGAAAATCTTATCTTGGGCAAGAGCTGCGATTCTTTGCTTAAGAACACTATTATCCACATTTAACACCAGGCGTTGGTGGTCCAAAAACGCAACCCGTGGTGACAATACTGCAACTTCAGCCTTGAGAAGGAGAGAGAGAGAGAGCATTAGTTAATGCCATCCAAAATGATAACTATAGAAGTTTTGAAGATAAAATATAACAATTCGGAGAATAATTAGTAACATACTTGTAATGAGGTAACACTGCGTTCGAGTTCGGATATGTATTGTAACTTTTTCACCCTTGATCTTTGCGCAGATTGTCTGTTAGCCAAGATTCTGATTCAACGAAAAGAGAAATTGTTAGCAAGAATTCAAATTCCAATTCAAATTAAATTGCAACTTTTGTTCCTTTGTCCATTATGGCATAAAAAATTTATACTGTTGCCTGAATCCAGCATGCTACTGCAGATGGGAATTTCTAAGAGGTTACTTTCTCGAGTCATCAAAGCTTTTTTGAATCATGCACTTTAGTAGTGCATAATTACCTCCGGATCCTTTTCGGATCAATGACCCGATCACCGGAATTGTCTGTCACAGACTGAGGAGTAACTTGTCCGTCAGATTTGCATGAGCTTTGCACCTCATCAGATTCTATCTTCATCTGCTGCATTAGCTGTTCCGACGGAGTTTGTTTATCGTCATTAATGCTATTATGATCAGACGGCGAAGACGGATTCGAGCACGACAATGTAGGTCCCACCGACATCGCAATATCGTCGGTGAACATAGACATGAACTGCTCATCATCAAACCGATCAAACTCATTGGTAGCCTCAGATCCCTGTTCCGATGGCCGTCGACATTCTTCCACCATCGGAGCCTCGAGGAAGGCAATTGAATCGCTGACGGATCTCCGGTGGGACCCACGCTTCCCCGACGAGAAGTCGAGGAATTCATCAACCCATGAAGAATTAAGGTTGTTGGTGTTTGTTGCCAAACACTCCATTGATGGTAGTCTTTGGTGAGAAACTTGCCAATTTGGTGTCATATTGTTTGGCACTTTTGGAGGCAACTGAGCCATTGTTTTCTTAGCTAAGTAACAGGACAATGTGGATGACGAAGAACTGAACAATGAAGTAACCCAATGGGCAGCAAGGCAAGCCAAACTGCAATCTACACCCCCAAGTTAGTTATATATACTCGCAAGGGTACGACTACGGTACCCCCCAACTTTTTTTTTTATAATACTATAAATGTTAGAAAATAACGATGAAATTATTCTCAAATAAGATCGTGTGATATAGATCACAATATCTTAAGGTCGGTTTAACATTTATAACCGGTCTTGAGATGTTAGTATTGATTGTAACGGTCAATTCTAACTTTTTTATCGAATAATAACTCTATTTAATTGTAATTTAATTTTTATATCATCCTCCAAAAATTTAAGAACAAGATCTCATCTAATACTTTTTATTTTTTATTTTTTATTTGGTAATTTATTAACAATAAATTCAAGTGAAATTCATTAAATATATGTAAATGTCTTATTCATTAATAGCGAATAATGGGCAAAGAAAAGAAATTAAAACACAATTATGGGAAGTGTCTAAATGCAAAAAATAATTTTGAATATGAAATTTACTTCCACACCACATTTGTCTACTGCGCTGAAAAGAAAGCGACAAGGAAAACATCATCATCATTACAGCTTTCTTTCCCTTCCAGTATCTCATCAAGAATCTCTCTCTCTCTCTGTCTCTCACTCACACACACACGCATACACACACTGGTGTCACATGGGGAGATGGGGCAGCNCTGTCTCTCTCTCTTTCTCACTCACACACACACGCATACACACACTGGTGTCACATGGGGAGATGGGGCAGCTATCTACAGCTGGTAGGGAGGTTGAGTCTCAACGGTATTACTGGAATGCATCAGGGATTCAGCAGTTTAATAAGTAGGAGGAATCAGAGACCACGTGCCCTAGTGACCGTCTTTTCAGCTGTAGCTTATAATAGTCTCATTATTCACATAGGAGAAACATTCCAGTGGAGTTTATATACATTGTATGTACATCATGCCTCGCCTGTTAATTGTCCGTTGATCGAAAGACAGACATCTCTAGTCCCTCCGATCTTCTCACATTAAATTCCATCAATGTTAAATCAGTCACCCTATTTTGACATTTCATCCGCTCCAATAAGGTAAAGTCGTAAATTTCACTTAAATTCATAATAATAAATAATAATTTTTTATTGAGAAAATCATAAAAAAAAAAAAAAAAAGTATACGATGATAGATTTAGATACAAATAATGGGTCACCGTGGTCACATCATCATCATTAGCTAATGACATCAATTATACTCCACATATTAGCTGAAATCATATTTTTCCTACAATAATTATTTTGAAACCTCAAGTTTAAGTTTTATAAAAGACCCAATAAATACACGTAGACCGAAGATAATTACGAACAATACAAGTTAATATGAGAAATATAATTTTTAGTTTACACGATTTGCAATTATCACAAAGAAAAATAAAAAATTATGACCATTTGTGTACAATGTTTGGGTTGCACTCTATGTAGATGGGCAAGTCCCTATAGTTTATATAGGGAAATGTATATGGGAGGATAAAGGGAGTTGTGGGATTTGGGGGATGAGCTGTGGAAAGTAAGGATGCTGATGCCATGCCATGTGAATTGTTTGCAGGGCTCTAAGCTCTCCTTACTTTGTCCCCAAACCATACCCACATGTAGGGCATGCGTGCCTTATTATTCTCTACCACTGTTTCTGAGCACCTTCTATCAAAATTCCAAATCGGAAATATGTCACCATATATTAATGCAAGTGTTGGGACGCACTAATTATGATTAGAGAACAGCTTAGCATAATATAATTATACTTGTTGCTCCACCACCATGACTTCCAATATCTCATGGCAGTGCCTATGCAATAAAGCATTTCCGTTGATAATTTTTTTTTTTTTACAAAGGTAAGGTCATTGAATCGTCCTAAAGTCAGCCCAACGAGCCTTTTGCGGCCTATCTCTTATGGACCATATAAGTGTAAAGGTTGGGCTTTTTAAATTATTATTTAAATTAAATATTTGTTCATCTCCAAATTCCCCTTGAAAACATATGCATTAGTTTGCCAATTTTATGTACTTCTGCAAAATCATAAATTGGAAATAACTTTTATTGGTTGAAATAAATCTTTCCTCTGATGGGTGAGAATTCAAGAGACAACACCACTTAGCCAAGGAAACGATTTAGGGGGCCTCATAAACCTCTCCCTTTGTTTTTTTTTTTTTCTCTTTCACGACATATCGACCGTTGGTTATTGTACAATTGATATTCACATTCACCACGAAGCCAACGCAAACATTACCCTTCGTGACAATCATATTCGTCCAAAAAACATCATCTAAGCCAACTATGGAGAGGCCTCTCCCCTTCAAATATGCTAGCTCGAAGGTTCGATTTTTCACAATCTGTTCACACCTTCCAGAGCTAGCTTTGATCAGGTACAGACTCAAATGGGCATTGCGCTTTGGAATTTACCAGTCCAGAGTTCAATCCGTCAGGTACTTGAATTCTCAGGCTATAAAGTCGAAAGGCAATCCTGAAAACAAACAACAGTCGTGCATGCAATGTTTGGGTCAGAGAAAGTAACATGAAGAAATGACAAAAACACCGTTCAGTATTACTTTAAATCCACCACCATTCAACCAAATTTTTCCATAAAATGTCGCAGGCTATTTGAAGCTTGAATACAAACATTTCAAAATCTTTTACAGCACTTTGCAGCGGATTTGGAACCACAACCCCCTCTATTATGCAGTCAATTAGTAGTTCAGCGGATGTGCTCTGACATAGCAGGTAAACGGACATTAGACAGTTCTTTCCCTAACTAAACAAATGTATTGGACAAGCTAAGTTTTCAGTTCTGCAAATCTCTTCCTCACAGCATGGGCAAGCTCCAATTCACCAGCAGTAGCCAGTCCCTCAATCACCTTCTGTCTCACCCTAATATATGGTATAAACCCCCTCTCTGTCATTCCCATCACGACCTTGCCTGCTAAAACAAACTCGCTACACTCTAAGCAACCCTCAACGACAGATTCATAGCTCTCAAACCCCACGTGTATACCCTCCGTCTCCAAAAACTCAATCATCTCAACTGCTCCCCATATCTCCCTATTTGCCCGCATTGCTGCTACCACTTTCAACACCATCTCCTGCCTTGGGTTCAAACCAAATTTTGCCACCATGTCCTTCATCATCGCTACAACATTAGCAGTCCTCCTTAGTTCACACATTGCACCAATTACAGCGTCATAACTATCCAAATCCGGAAGGCATCCTGCCGCACCCATGCCCTTTAAGACTTTAACAGCCTCCTTCAACTGATCAACCTTACAGAGTGACAAAATAAGGTAGTTGCAAGTGCCACAGTCAGCACGATAACCAATTGACTGCATCTCTAACAGAATACTTGAGACAGACTGACATTGATGTCGGCTTTCAAGCCATGCAGTGGAAAGAAGAAGGTGAGTTTGAGGGATAGGGACACAACCTGACCGAAGAGTGCGCTGAAGAATGGCGAGAGCAAGAGGAAGAGGATTGGAACTTTGGAGAATGTAAGAAAGGAGGTACGAATAGGCAACCTCAGGGCGAGAACGGGGTCTCAGAGGGATAAAAGACTGTAAAATTTCATCGACAATTTGGGTTCTAAGGGTTTGGGAGAATGTGGAGAGGAATGAGAAGGGATTTGGATTTTGGGCCGATTCTCTCACGGCAATGAGAAGGTCAGGAACATGCCGGTAAAACTTGGCTTCAACTGCAGCTTTGATGGATTCTTCAAGCGTCTGTGAGGAACAGAAAGAGTGAATGTACGAAGAATGGAGGAACAAGCAATGAAAAGGACGAAGAGATGTACAAAACTTCGTTGCTGTAATCATTGTTTCTGAGGAGTATGAGCAGTACAATGCAAAACCTGCAGGCATTAATAGCCATGTAAAGGGTGGCCAATAATGGTCGCTAAAAAATTTATCTAAAGAAGAATGCACGTATAAATACAATATATGATAGACAAAAGGGCTTTCAAAAATTCATAATATCTACGAAGAAGGATTGCTTTGTACAAATCATACCACCAATGAGAACAAGACTAGCAAGGATAAAGGACTATTATGGAAGGAGNAACGTATAAATACAATATATGATAGACAAAAGGGCTTTCAAAAATTCATAATATCTACGAAGAAGGATTGCTTTGTACGAATCATACCACCAATGAGAACAAGACTAGCAAGGATAAAGGACTATTATGGAAGGAGCAAATAGATGAAATTGTGAAAGAATACATAATCACAGCACTTTGAAAGATGCCTTAAATGATGATGCTAAAACAACATAACCCCAGTTAGTTCCTTTAAGGGGAAAAATGACACTAATAGTGAAAGAGGAAAAGAAAAAAATTTGGTTCTGATGAAGTAAATGACCCAAATCAAGTTGCCCAACTAACGGAATTATTGTATTGTTACATAAAGTTACAAGGAACCTATCAACAATTTTTAACAACCAGATTCATCGAAACCTGTTAAAAATACAAATAACTAAGCAAAATAACTCTCCATCAGCTTATCCTCTAAGATGAGTTGGCTGCTTATTATAGTATTAAAAGAAGTGGTCATGTGTTCAAGTCACATTGCCACTCGAGAATAATAATACATGATAATAAAAGAAAAAAGGAACACACCAGAATTAGCATTCATATATCAGGCAGGCATGAAATTTAACCAAAGAAAAGTTGATGAGAGTTTACCAATAACGCTTCAGGTAACTTTAGTCATCGCAAATGTCTCCTTCTGGACCTGACACGCCGATAAAATACCCGGAAAGCCACAACAATGATGATAAGAACCACTTGTAGGATAATCACCACCTTCAAACCTGGAGTGACCAAGCCATTAAATATTTCCATAGAGATCATTTGGATTCCATTATTGATAAGGATTCGGAAGAGATTTTAGCCGCTGCACATAAGCTGCCATGAACAATAATACCTTTCAGTTTCTGAATTGATTCATCTGCATTAACCTCCGTCTTAGTTCCTTTTGCATCAATAAAACCCAAATCCCGGATTGTTGAACCATAACTTATTCCCTTGTACTCAACATTCCCACCCATGACACAGGTATTGGAACAAATGATGCTGCCATCATACTCATCACTTCCATCACAGCAATCTGAAGGAGAGTGAAACAGCAAATTAATATAACAAACACAGGAAAAATCCAATTTACCTAACGCAAAGTTCAAGAAAATTTGTTAAGTACCATAGAAGAATCCGTGCCTTTAGTAAATGCAGTTATGTATAACAAGTAAAATTCCAACAAGGCGGCCTATTAGATGGGGCTAAGATCAATATGAACAAGAAGAGCAAGAGAAATATCCAAACCCAATAGAGCCTCAACAAAACTGGCAGCGCAACACAATATGAAGTTAGCAATAACCCTGCCTCGGATGAGGTAGGTCATAGGTTAATCCATTTTCAAGAAAAGAAGCACAATACCCAAAACACGCCTGCGGTAGTCTGCCCCAGTTGCATATATTAAACAGTTCGCATATAATCTGGTGAAATAAATACGAGAGAAGAATTATATTGATAATACTTACCACAAATATGATCATTCACGCGAGAAGAAAACAGAAACTGAGGCATACTTCCCATATTCTTACAATAAAATTTGCCCATTGGACAGGCTGAAGTTCCTACAAATCCAACAAAGGAAAAGTGACTCACTGACATTGGAAAAACATAAATGTAGTACACAAAAAAAATATCTAATTCAAACAAGACACAGTCATTGATACACTTTTTTTCGGTAAATATTGGGTACACTAGTTGCATGCATTTTAAAATTGAAACAATATGTATAAAGATCATGCACTCTTCATTGGTAACCTGCATTTCAATCCTTCTTTATTTTTTTGCTCTGTGANGGTAAATATTGGGTACACTAGTTGCATGCATTTTAAAATTGAAACAATATGTATAAAGATAATGCACTCTTCATTGGTAACCTGCATTTCAATCCTTCTTTATTTTTTTGCTCTGTGAAAATATTTGGTTGTATACCAAAAACAAAAAGTAATAGCACTTTTATCTGGAGAAATAATCGATCTCTTTATTTACAGAACAGTTGAAATATTGGCATATGAAAAATATCAAATGAAGATGAAGCAAGGACTGTCACAATAAGAGCATGAATGCACACTTCTCACATCCACTAATGTAGCTTCCTGCTCAGCATGTGTACTTCTTACAACACTAACCTAAATGTCAAATCCCCTTTGGAGAAGAACAGCAATATATGCATTCGCTAAGGAATAAGAGTTGTAAAAAGAAAGACAGGGTTTGCTTACGTCACATAACTTTCCTTTCAATAGTGCAATCAAAATGGGAATCCTCAAGAGGTTTACATACCTCAGAAAAAAAGCCTCAAAAGAGCAAACATGAAGAAATAAAAATCAGGGAATAACCATAATTGCAAACAAACAAAAAGGGCTTCCAAAAATTGTCCATATAGTACATATTGATAAAAATGAGTGGCAAAACTTGATGTCTTTCTTGTTCGGACTGCACTGTCGAATTAGTGAACAGCAAGTGTTCATTTCTTATCTTAGAATTATAAACCTTCAACATTTGCCAGATTGCTTACAGAACTTCTGTAGAATGAGATATCAGCTCTACCCTTGAACTTACTGTCCACAATAAGAGAGTTTACAACAAAAACATATATAGAAATTTTTTACTTGCGCTTGAATACTGCTGACATTACTAGTTTGAGATTATAGGAGTCAAATCCTTGCTTTTTAAAAAGAAAAAGTACAGATATTTTCGCAGTCAAAAAATAAAAACTACTCCCCACTGTTATCGCAAGACGTATAATCTTTCTACCTCACTTGTATCAAGAACTCAAAATGTTTAACATACAATACAAAAATTCTTCACAGAAATAAGCCCCTTATTTCCAGAACACAAATCATTAAAATTACCAATTGTACAGTAAATAAGATTTAAATTTGTTGCAATTAGAATATCTTACATATGTTCCAATTTTATGATAGGGTTCAATTTATACCAGGTTCATCGGTGCCATCTAGGCAGTCGCAGAAATTGTCGTTGATACGGGCCCTGGTGAAGGAATTAGATCCGTCCTTGCACTTGATCACCTCCGAAGCATAGTACTTTTCATCTGTCAACAACNGCGGGCCCTGGTGAAGGAATTAGATCCGTCCTTGCACTTGATCACCTCCGAAGCATAGAACTTTTCATCTGTCAACAACCCAAAACAAATTTGAAATTCAAGAAAAATAAATGATATTGTGTACATATATAGAGATCGAGAGAGCGATAGACAGAGATAAGGACCAAGTGGGTGGATTCCGATGGGTAAACCAGACGGAGATGAGTAAGTGAAGAGGAAGAAGAGTGAGATGGAGATGACGAGAAGACCGCAAAGACAAGGCTCCATTAGAGTTAGGGCAGGACGGGTGCAGCTCCTCTGCGGTTAGCTAGGAACAGCACACTGTCCACGTGTCCGATACGTTCCGTTGCAACCCACATACCCAATTGTTTTTGTTGAATTAAATGGTCACACAGTCTATGGCCACCCAAGAAGACAAATGGTGGTATTGATTTCCAACAGATGGTGCTTTAGTGCTTTGTTTGGTGAGACCTAGAAAAGCTGAAAAGCAGGGGGATATATTTTTTGTGGTCTAATAAAAAAAAATATGAATGACATATTTTTCTACGGTTATGTTTGGTTAGATGAAAAAAAAAATTTATTATTTTTTTTATTTTTAAATTTTTTTTTTAAAAAGTATAAATAATGTTTTACCATTATATTTATATATGAAATTAATGTGTATATAATATATAATTAATANTTTTTAAAAAGTATAAATAATGTTTTACCATTATATTTATATATGAAATTAATGTGTATATAATATATAATTAATATATATATATATATATATATATCAAATGATATGTAGGTAAATAAAATATATTTTAATACAAATAATTAAATTTTCATCCACTTTTCTTCTAATTTTGAAGGAAATGTGAGTTGGAAGAAAAAGTTATCTATCCATTTTTTTATCATTCTTATTTTTCTTTTTTACCAAACATGATGTTTTATCTATCCCTCAAACTTTTCATTCTTTTATTTTTTCCATCGTACCAAATGGATCATTAAAGTCAAGAGAAATATAGGGCTGTGTGTGAAAGCCTGAATCATGCGTAGTTCGGATCTGATCTCCGCATTAATTGCTATGATTTGCTGATTTGAGTATTTGTCCATTTATTTTCCAATTTGACTACGAAAGGAGATGTCCAGGCAGTGGTTCAAGCATTCGAAAATCACTTCAGTATTTTCGGTGCTTTTAGTGTTTTAGCATTAAGTGATATTTTGGTATCAATTTGAGTGATATCATGTGTCAGTCTGTGTGTTATCAGATTTATGAGGGACGCTAGTGATATATCAAAGTGATTCTATTTTGTTGGAGTGAGTACTTGTAGGATTTGGAATAATTGTTCTTGTACTCTTTATTTACTTCAAATAATAAAAATATTCGATCGTTGTTGTTAGACAATTGCCGAACCATGTAAATTATCTTGTTTTGTCTTGTATAATTGTTCTTTTATTTTTTCACTTGAGTATGAGTGTCAGTTTCGGTCAAAATTTGATTTCTAGGGTAATTTTTGCAACAAATTGGTATCATAGTCAATACAAATTTTGATTATTATTTATATACAAGTACTATCCATACGGTATTGTATATACGGGGTACTATTCATACAATACTATTCATTAGTACGATATACAATTAGTATTCATCGATACTGTTTATGAGTACTATTTAAGGAATAACAATTGTCTGCGCCAGTTTTTTTGGACCTCACTCAATTAAGTTTTAAAGTCATGGCAACGAAACTTCCAATAAACTCCACCTTATGAATTAGACACACAATGTCAGACCACCCAAAAAAAAATTATAATATAAAATAGGGTCTCGTGTCTAATTCAAGTCTAAAACCTAAAAAAAATAAGAAAAACAAAAAGTCACTCCAAATTTCCATAACACATGGCCTCGTGTCTCGCTTCTCTTACACTTATGTAAATATGTGTAGATAATAAGAGGAATCATAGCTTCTCGTATATAAATTTGTATAAAAAATAACAAATTATAATATATCTTCTTCTTCTTCACCCTTATATATGTCCAATATAGTTAACCCATTTGATGCAGCAACCCAAGTAAGTTGCTAAATCTTTGAGAAAATTAAATTACGATTTATTCAAGAATCTTAAACTTTAGAAATAAAGGAATTAAAAATAGTCCCACATTGCCATAAACTCTAATTAAGGAATTATTTCCTTTTGCTCTTAAATGCTCCCCAGACAAATTCTCATCTTGTTTTATTAAAATTGAGATCCTTTAAATTAGCAATCACAAAAAAAATTAAGATAATTAGAAACTTTCTAAAGTACATATAACAATTTCACCACTTTATAAAGTTTTTGGATCATGAATAATCTATGAAGCACGGATGCTTCGTTGAGGTTGACGTACCCGTATTCGATATTTTATCGGATACGATACTCGTCAGATACTCGAAGATACGTATCGANCTCGTGTCTAATTCAAGTCTAAAACCTAAAAAAAATAAGAAAAACAAAAAGTCACTCCAAATTTCCATAACACATGGCCTCGTGTCTCGCTTCTCTTACACTTATGTAAATATGTGTAGATAATAAGAGGAATCATAGCTTCTCGTATATAAATTTGTATAAAAAATAACAAATTATAATATATCTTCTTCTTCTTCACCCTTATATATGTCCAATATAGTTAACCCATTTGATGCAGCAACCCAAGTAAGTTGCTAAATCTTTGAGAAAATTAAATTACGATTTATTCAAGAATCTTAAACTTTAGAAATAAAGGAATTAAAAATAGTCCCACATTGCCATAAACTCTAATTAAGGAATTATTTCCTTTTGCTCTTAAATGCTCCCCAGACAAATTCTCATCTTGTTTTATTAAAATTGAGATCCTTTAAATTAGCAATCACAAAAAAAATTAAGATAATTAGAAACTTTCTAAAGTACATATAACAATTTCACCACTTTATAAAGTTTTTGGATCATGAATAATCTATGAAGCACGGATGCTTCGTTGAGGTTGACGTACACGTATTCGATATTTTATCGGATACGATACTCGTCGGATACTCGAAGATACGTATCGAATACACCTTCTACATATCTGATAATAATTAAATATTATGATACTTCACGGATACTTTTGTGGTTGAGCAACATATATAATTTTTGAGTTGAACTTTTAACATTTCTTTTCGAATTCACATATCATACAGTACATTAACAAAAAATTCATATTATTTAAAAGGTACATGAGTGTTTCTTAAGTATTATTTACAATTACATGTCAAAAGAGCATAAAATAAAACTATTACATTATTATCTTAGCAAAAATTACTTTTAAATACTAGATAAATATTAATTTTGATTATTTTAATTAGTCACTTCACTTTGTGAATATATTACAACGATAAAATATATATTTTCTCTAAACTAAAAAAAATTATTAATTTTGCTTATTGTATATTACAGAACTAACAAAATATATAAGTATTAAGCTGATTAAAAATATTAAATATATTTTATTATAGTCGTATCTTGGCCATACTCGTATCTTACTTTTTTAGATTTTGTCGTATCATCGTATCCGTATTGCATCGTATCCGTATCTCGTATCCGTATCCATGCTTCATAGTGAATAATGCATTTTATCACATGGGTCACTCAACTTCAAAACCAATCAGTTAATATACAATTTTCACCTAAATTAACATGTGTCCTATCGCATATACGTGCATCCTATCACATGTACCCAGTTTTAAATTACATTAAAAAACATAGCAGAGGCATAACAGAATTCAAACTTTAAGGCAAAACACATAGAATGATAAATTATTTAAGTAATGTGATAGAATTATTTTCAATTCAGGTAATTGCTTTTGCTTATTTAAGCTAACCAATCTGCAATCAATGAATGAGAAATTGGAAGTTTAAGTCAAAACATTATCTCTTAGACATTTTAGCAAACAACTTGCATGCAAATAGGCAATAGAACATTGATAACAATTTTCATTGGTTTCGGTTGCATACAAAATGTCATAGGGGGTGGTTGTATTCTCAACATGAATTTATAGGAATTGAACTGGGGCTGCATCATGAATTTCAAAACATTTGGCACTATTCATTCCTCCGCTTCCCGCCCATCCAAAAGCTAACCAATTCACTGACAGCAAATTGCAAGAAAACCCAACCAATAAATAAAATCAAACCATAGGAATTAAAAAATACGCAATCTTATAACAAACGCCATTATTGGACAATGCAACACAAACTCATACTACTATCAGGTGCTACATATACTCAAACAGTTGATTTCATCTGTAGTATAAAGCCAAATGTTCATCTTAAAAGCAACTTATTTCTTAACAATTTATCCAACACTACACTTGCAGTTTCTTTCTCATCTTTAGGTTTCTAGAAGTTTAGAACTTAAACCTTCCCTTAATACTTTGGAGGTTACTAAGAAGCAGATAAAAGTATAGTAATCCACATTTTACACCATTTCCTCAAGTCAAGTCAACCTTCTAACCATTGCTAGGACACCAAAAGACCCAAATCCTGATTTCATCTGTAGTCCCACCTAATATTAATCAAACAAAATGTCCATTGTGGACTGTACTATATTGTTGGGCCCTCAAATCCATCCACCACATGTAATGCCCAAAACCCCCAAATAGAGGTGTTCTTGGGAGGAAGATATGGTGCTAGTAGATGGTGTGGGTGTGTGAATGAGTGTATGTGAAGTAATGGATGTGTGTGAGAGACAGAGGGAGAGAGAGAAAAGACGTAGGTGCAAAATAAAAAAAAAAATAGGAAAAAACATATAATGCAGAAAAAAAAAAGCATGAGGTCAAGTGAATAAGTGTTTGTGTGTGTGAGAGAGAGAGAGGGAGGGGGGAAGAGAGAAACTGATGTTGTATGTGGGTGTAGATGGCTAGGAAAGGGGAGGGGAGTTGTGCTCACAGAGGTTGGGTTTGGGGGTGGAGAGGAAGAGGGAGTATTTCTATGTGTGTGTGAAGTAAGGGACCAATAGAGAATCTGAGCTGAGGGGTTTGGTGTAGAGAATCTGGGGAGGGGGTTTCTGGGTGTGATGCAGGGGATATGATGCTATGGCTCTGGCGGTGGTGCTGTAGCACTTCGTGCATCTATGGCGAGAGCCGAGAGAGAGAGTGTGTGTGTGTGTATGTGTGTGTGCGACGGTGTGCTTGGGGGAGAGGGAGAGACAATGACGATGAGAAATGGAGGTGATGAGATGGTGTTGAAGAGAAAAATATGTATGGAATAAAATTGAAGTTAAGAGA